GTCTGTTTTTGGCTTAAAGATCTTGAGCAGTTTAGTATCATCTGCAAACTTTGCCACCTTACTTTTTACCACTTTCTCCAGATCACTTATGAATAAGTTGACTAGGATTGGTCCTAGGACTGACCCTTGGGGAACACCACTAGTTACCCCTCTCCATTCTGAGAATTTACCATTAATTCCTACCCTTTGTTCCCTGTCTTTTAACCAGTTCTTAGTCCATGAAAGGACCTTCCCTTTTATCCCATGACAACTTAATTTACATAAGAGCCTTTGGAGAGGGACCTTGTCAAAGGCTTTCTGGAAATCTAAGTACACCAAGTCCACTGGATCCCCCCTTGTCCACATCTTTGTTGACCCCTTCAAAGAACTCTAATAGATTAGTGAGACACGATTTCCCTTTAGAGAAACCATGTTGACTTTTGCCCAACAACTTATGTTCTTCTATGTGTCTGACAATTTTATTCTTTACTATTGTTTCAACTAATTTGCCCGGTACCGATGTTAGACTTACCAGTCTGTAATTGCCGGGATCACCTCTAGAGCCCTTTTTAAATATTGGTGTTACATTTAGCTATCTTCCAGTCGTTGGGTACAGAAGCAGATTTAAAGAACAGGTTACAAACCCTAGTTAATAGTTCGGTAATTTCACATTTGAGTTCTTTCAGAACTCTTGGGTGAATGCCATCTGGTCCCAGTGACTTGTTTAATGTTAAGTTTATCAATTAATTCCAAAACCTCCTCTCGTGACACTTCAATCTGTGACAGTTCCTCAGATTTGTCACCTACAAAAGCTGGTTCAGGTTTGGGAATCTCCCTAACATCCTCAGCCATGAAGACTGAAGCAAAGAATTCATTTAGTTTCTCCGCAATGACTTTATCCTCTTTAAGCGCTCCTTTTGTATCTCTATCATCGAGGGGCCCTACTGGTTGTTTAGCAGGCTTCCTGCTTCTGATGTACTTAAAAAACATTTTGTTATTACCTTTTTGAGTTTTTGGCTAGCCGTTCTTCAAACTCTTCTTTGGCTTTTCTTTTTACATTTTTATACTTAATTTGGCAGTTTTTATGCTCCTTTCTATTTACCTCGCTAGGATTTGACTTCCACTTTTTTTAAAGGAAGTCTTTTTATCTCTTACTGTTTCTTTTACATGGTGGTTAAGCCACGGTGGCTCTTTTTTAGTTTTTTTACCGTGTTTCTTAATTTGGGGTATGCATTTAAGTTGGGCCTCTATTATGGTGTTTTTAAAAAGCGCCCATGCAGCTTGCAGGGATTTCTAACAACTCAGTTAGATGTAGGTTTCGTTTTCATTTTTAGAAGGTACACGCTATATATTTTTTAAAGTGATTTATTTTGAAAATTTTTCAGATTAGTTTTACAGCTATATCAAAAAATGAATGATTGTTCGGTTATTTCATTTATCAAAGATAATTGAAAGAGATATTATGAAGTCATTGGCAGGTGAACTATCTCCAGTTCAACAGGTTAATCATAAATATTTGGAGGATTTTCTTGCCATGCTGTATTAGGAGGAGAACATCACCAGACAGACATTTAAATTGTTTTATTTAACTAAATCAACAACGTGATGTATTCTGGATTTTTTTCTTCAACAGCAAACATAATATTTTAACAAAACAAGCATATGAATTTTTGAATTTAGTTAAGCATTCAAGTTTTTTAAAATCAGGATTGTTTATGTTAATTGTTTTTAACTAAGATAGTTAAATGATTTAAAAAAAAAACAAAAAAAACCCAAAAGTTAAATTGACTGTCAGCCAGGTCAACATGAAAAACTTAAAATAACTCAGTCGTCTTCACCTTCATTTTCCTGTTTGTTCATAATCTGGAAAAGAAAAACAAGCTTTCCTGCTTTTTCGGGTCCCAAACGATTTCTCAATTTGGAATGAATTAGTCCAAAGGAAGAAAATATTCTTTCTACACCGGCAG